TAATCTCACACTGCCCTAACTCCTCCTGCACGCACAATTAATTGGCCCACTGTGCTCTCACCACAGGTCTAGGGTTGCTTATTGCATGCTATCTTCTGAATTATGAGTCAGTTCTCCGAAGGCAAAGGAGTTCTTTGCTTGTTTGCTGTATCTGCAGCATTCTTGACTGTACTGTGTATTTGTCAGGCACTAAAAACACATATATTGGAGGGCCGGCCAAATAGCTCAGCAGATTAAATCACCTGTAAGCAGGTGCAGGCGCCAGGGGTTCGATCCCCAGTTCTGCTGTGCCAGCCCCGCCCCTGGGGTGCACTGAGATAGCAATTGAGACTGGGCATGGTGGAGCTTGCCTGTAATCCCATCTCTGGGGAGGCTGTAAACAGGCAGATCACTATGAGTCTGATCTAGTAGTGAGACCCTGAACACCCAGTAGACCCTTCCCTAAAATACAAAAAATAAAAAAATAAATACATATATTGAAGTTTCTGTAGAATCTTAAGAATGATGTTTGCAGTTTTTATGAGTCCTAAAGATCATTCTCAGTTCTTGTGTTTTCAATATCCCAATATCTTGTTATGAAGTATCTAGATATTAAAGGGAAAACTAAAAATATGAAGTGAACAAAAGCTATGGACCGTTCATCCGCCTAATAAAAAAGGGCAAAGAGTAATTAAACAAAGAATGCCTGGAGACTCTAATTCAAGATGCTGAGAACTCCTTGTGTCACCTAATAACATTAACATGGTTTTAAATTAAAGATGTGGGCATTCATAGAAAGCAAACTGATAAAAGGATAATCATGATTTTTCAGCAGCTACCAAAGGTTGGTGACCACCTATATCCTGACTGAAAATCAATTTTTGATCAAGTGACAGTAAGTCTCTGTGATTTGGCCATACCCCTAGACTTTCACATTAGGAAGACAAACACCTTGGAAGATGAACATTCCAGAATTGCGTCTAAACTTCAGCAGCACAGGAAACATAAAATCCCAATTTAGGGACTGGCACTATTTTGAAGCTATGATTGCTGTTTTGATGTTGGAATACTACACAGAACCGCCCATTCCACTGCAGAAGTTAAAATTTTCAGATATGGATTCAGTGCTTAACCCTCCTTCCAAAAGCCTTGCCATGAGAAAGATATTATGTAAAGAATTAGGAAGCCGGAGATTTAGCTCAGCAGCACGGCAACCATGAGGTTGTAAGGTCGATTCTCGGTACTCCCCCCAAAAAAAGAATTAAAGGTCTAAAAGTGGATCCTCCAGGTACACCACAGTTCTGAAGGACAAAACAGCAACTGGTATTTAAAGTTTTGTTCTCTAGAAACAGAATGAAAATAGTTTTACCAAATTCCTTTCAACAAATAAATGGCTTCTCTTTTTTAAAATTTTTAATGAATTCATTCGTTTATTATGGTCTTAGATCTTCATGAAAGTTGATTAACAATTTAATCCTTGCTAATCAAATCATTTGACTATATCAAATGATACCAGTTCTCATTACAGGATTTAAGGGATGTGTACATCATGTGAATTTATTACCAAATGTCAGTAGCTAAAAATGCTACTAACAGGAAAGTGAATTGGGGAAAAGACTAGCATGAAATAGAAGAGAATTTTAATTATAATGTATTATCTTTATAGAACATCTAGGTAGGTTTTCCCAACTCTTATTTTAGATAAAATTCTCTATCTTACTGCATTTTCTTGCTTTAAGGGGTTACTTTTGAAAAGAACTGCAATAAAACATTTATGATGAAAAAAGCCCATAAATTACCAAGTCATTTTTCATTTAGGTGAGCATTAAATAATGTGCCAGATATTTATAAAAGTAAGAAAAGTCTCTTTATCCTGCAATAAAATTAACAGGCTGACTTCCCTTCCTACGTGATTACCTTGAGCCCTACATTATGCTAAGCACTTTACCTTATTTAAATCTCTTAATGAATTAAGAGAATTAACTAAATATTTCATTTACTCCTTTTCCAGAGGAGTAAAGTAGAGCTTAGAGAGATTAATTGGCCCAAACAGGGTTCTAAATGCTTCTCACATACAAATCCTGAAATTGCCTTCCACCCATCCTCTAATCTTACAGAACCCTGAACAACTTCTTTGTATTTCTTCATTCACTCATAAAATATTTATCAAAAGTTTTCTATGCACCAGGTGCTCTTCTAGGTGCCAAAGATGCAAGGGTGGAAATAAAATCCCTAGTTTCAGAAAGACATAGCCACCAAAATAACATGTATCATCATACATTATTTTAATTAAAACTAATAAGAAATTGATGCCTAGTTTTCAGCTTTCCAATATGTATGTAATGCTTGATTCTCTCCCATCTCACCATTAAAAAAAAAAAAAAAAAAAAAAAAAAGATAATTATTTAAGGAAATAAAGGGGAACCAGGGAGGGTGCAGAAGAGAAGAAAAAGAAGGTTCCCGCTGTGCCAGAAATCCTTACAAAAAAGAGAAGACATTTTGCAGAGCTGAAGATAAAGCACCTGAGAAAGAAGTTTGCCGAGAAGACACTTCACAAGGCAAGGAGGAAGCTCATCTATGAAAAAGCCAGGCACTATCATAAGGAGCACAGACCGATGTACAGAACTGAGATCCGAATGGCTGGGATGGAGAGACAAGCTGGCAACTTCTATGTCCCTGCAGAGCCCAAACTGGCCTTTGTCATCCAGCTCAGGGGTATCAGTGGTGTGAGCCCAAAGGTCCGCAGGGTGATGCTGTTTCTTCACCTTCGCCAAATCTTCAATGGTACCTTCATTAAGCTCAACAAAGCTTCAAGTAACATGCTGAGAATTGTGGAGCCGTGCATTGCATGGGGGCACCCAAACCTGAAGTCAGTGAATGAGCTGATAGACAAGCGTGGCTGTGGCAAAGTCAGTAAGAAGTGAATGGCCTTGACAGATAATTCATTGAATGCTCGAGCTCTTGGTAAATATGGAATCATCTGCATGGAGGATCTGATTCATAAGATCTCTACTGTTGGGAAATGCTTCAAAGAGGCAAGTAGCTTCCTATGGCCATTCAAGTTATCATCTCCTGGAGGTAGAATGAAGAAAAAAGACCACCCATTTTGTGGAAGTGGAGATGCTGAAAACAGGAAAGATGAGATCAGCAGGCTTATTAGAAGGACAAACTAAGGTATCTACCATGGTGTTTTTATGATTTGGTCAGTTAATAAAGTATCTGCTTCCAAATTGAGAAAGAAAGGAAGGAAAGAAGGAAGGAAGGAAGGAAGGAAGAAAAAAAGAAAGAAAGAAAGAAAGAAAGAAAGAAAGAAAGAAAGAAAGAAAGAAAGAAAGAAAGAAAGAAAAGATCAATCAGAGAAAAGGTCCTCCAAATATACCAGATTGCTTAATGGAAAAAACAGCACAGACAAACAAACAGATAGTGATTGTGACAAAAATCATCTCACCAGAAACCATTGCTCTTCCTCTTCCTGTGAGTGACCTTAGGTGACCTGTGAAAATGGTTCACTACACTCTCGACCCAGAAAATCCCACAAAAACATGCAAATCAAGAGGCTCAAATCTTTGCGTTCACTTTAAGAACACGTGTGAAACTGCCCAGGCCATCAAGGGTATGCATATCCACAAGGCCACCAAGTATCTGAAGGATGTCACATTAAAGAAGCAATTTGTGCCTTTCCGGTGTTACAATGGTGTAATTAGTAGGTGTGCCCAGGCCAAACAGTGGGGCTGGACACAAGGTCGGTGGCCCAAAACAAGTGCTGAATTTTTGCTGCATGTGCTTAAAAATGCAAAGTCATGCTGAGCTTAAGGGTTTAGATGTAGATTCTCTGGTTATTGAACGTATCCAGGTGAACAAAGCACCCAAGATGCGCCGCCGTACTTACAGAGCTCATGGCCGGATTAATCCATACATGAGCTCCCCCTGCCATACTGAGATGATCCTTACTGAAAAGGAACAAATTGTTCCCAAACCAGAAGAGGAACGTGCACAGAAGAAAAAGATATCCCAGAAGAAACTGAAGAAACAAAAACTTATGGCACGGGAATAAATTAAGCATAAAATAAATGCAAATAATTTTTTTTTAAAAAATCATCTCAGTTATGAAGAATGAGAACATTAGTATGATTGGCTGCTAGAGTACACAGAGGTCATGTGTTTACAGTTAATATAATTGGCTGCTAGTTTAGACAAAGGTCACATGTTTCCAGAACCACGAAGACCCACCTGTGTCCCACATCATCCCTTGCCATCAACCCTACTTCCTGCCTCACCCTTCCTCTCATCCAAAACCAAAGTCAGGTGACTAACAGTACCATTCCTTAGGCCAAATTCTTGTTTCAAATTCCAAGAGAGCCATACTATAAGAAACAAAACAGTGGAAGAGAGCAGAAGCGGGTATTTTCATTTGTCTGAAAAATAAGTTTTCAAATTATTTTTAAACTAAAGAACTAAACTTTAAACTACTTGTGGGTGTTATGTCTACCCTGCCTTTATACTTGATTGCCAATATGCCTTTAGTGGAGGAAAAAAATGTTCTTTATATGCTTTTATCATTTTTACTGACAATCTTAGGACACTTTGATGTATTAGAAATAAACCTTTTCCTCTCCAATAGTTCAAATAATAAAAACCACCTACTTATAAGAGTAGCCACTGAATACAAGTCTTACACTGTGTGGGCCATAGGAATCAACAGCAAACTGACCATGTCTCTAAGGCAGCAGTCTACAACTGAAACAAACTAGAACATCTCATTCATATATATATATATCCTTCATTCCAGATGACTTTATAGTCAATCCACTGTAGCTTTGTTGTTGCTACTGTTTTCCTTTTAAGACTTTGACTAATATTTGCCTTTTAAAATTTACAACCCCAATCTAGAACATAACAGGCAATGATCAAATGTATACAACCACTGTTCCTGCAAATACAATGTGTTTTAGAGAAACTAATCACCTAATTCACTGATTCAGAGTCACAAAACTTAACAGTACCACATCCACTGGTCTTACCTCTGCAGCTAAATAGTTTCCAGTTGCAAGGTGTTTAAATCTGAAGAGACTGTTCCATTGTCCTGCACCCCCACGGCACGGGTCATGATGAACCACCTACAGATTTAAAAAAAAAAAAAAAAAAAAGTCATGACAATAATAACAAAATGGTATTCAAGGGGCTGGGGAGATGGCTCAGTGGAATAAGCGCTTCCCTGGCAAGTGCAAGGGCCTGAGTTCAATTCCCAGTTCTGCCCAAAAAAAAAAAAAAAAAAAAATGGTATTCATGTCCTGGCAAGGTAATTACATGAAGTACCTTCCTGT